CGTGAGTTTCCCTCACTCACACTCTTGAGGGCTTTTTAGTGGAAGAATAATTTCAACAACATTAATGACACCACCATAAGACAGAAGACGCTTATAGTATCACCCAATAAAAATTTATCCGGAGTGGAAGGAGTTGGTGGATGTTTGTGGGCTCCAAAAATAATGCCTCGGCCTCCGCCCGCTGATCTTTTTATTCAACGAGGGAGTTTTAACTGAATAGTTCGGAGGTAAATTTTGGAAGGCAGATGGGTTTTGTAGATAAGACACTACCCAGAGATTTCGCCCTCATTTGCGAGGACTTTATGATCTGAGTTCTGGTTTCCTATAGGCGCAAGCCCCTATAGTTAATTACCCCTCCCGATCACGAGAGAGAACTTTCGATTAAGGCTAGTCGTCAATCAGATACGTAGAGAATACGTGTTATCTGGCATATAGTAGCAGCAATGGATATGGAATTTTGGAAATCTGAATCAACAATGTTAGAGGATTTGCCACTTACCAGTGGTTTGGTGCTCGTCAATGGAGGTCTTCAAGGAGAAGAAGATCCGATCGACGTAATCTTCGACTGTGTGGTCGATCTCGAAGTTGATGTCGAAGAAGGATGATCTAAGCACATCCTCTCATCCTTGATTATTGTAGACGAATCCATGATCTTGCTCGGGATCAGCCATTCATGGGTAGGGAGGCCGAGGGAAGTTGTGTGTCTTCCTCCTTAGACGATGTATCAAGCAAGGGAGAAGGAATGTAAGGGAGGAGGGAGAGGCTTGGGTGGTCGGCCAAGGCTAGGAGAGGGGGTAGCTTTAATTTCAGATTTTAGGGTTTGGATAGGGAGGGAAAACAAATTCAAAATCTGAAATTTAATTTCTGATTTTAATGTTGGAAAGGAGTAAATAATTTGAATTTGAATCTCCTATAATTGGGGATAGATTGGGCATCACACCTTAATGGGAGGGGATTTGATTGAGAGTGTTAGTGGGAAGGAATTCTCAGCCATGGAGTGAAGGTTGTCATCTATTGAAAGCTGATTTGGAGGGGTGGAGGAGATGATATAGAAGCTTATAGAGATGCGATCCTAAATTCCACCGGTGGTTCCGATTGCCAACCCCAACCCAAAATCGATCTGGATTCCCTTGGCCGAAACTAATGGAAAAGAGATCAGACGGAAATAGTTCGATGATGAAAGCTTCTTTCATCAAGAACCACCTCCTAGGGCTTCGATAAGGGGCGAATTAGGGGTTCCGGATGGGGGGACAATAAGAAGGGAGTTCTGTGGTGGAGTGGCCGACCACTATCGAGGGCCTTTTGGGGTTAGGGCAGTGGATGACCAGAGGAGGGGGATGGTCTGAAACGTGGGGATCGGGTTATGTTAGATGGAGGGAAGAAATGTGGGATTCCCACCCTCGATACACAGGGGAAACATGGAGGGATCACAACAGCTGTTACACTAGGGGAGGAAGAAGCTATTGGGGTGGTGGAGATCCTATGATGACAATCCTGGGGTCACTGTATCCTAGTCTTGATGTGAAACAAGTTGAATATCTTGCAACAAGAGTTGCACCTATTCATCCCGATTCTCAAGAATTTAATTCGTATGGTGGAAGAATGGATGTAGATCCACATGCTTTATCCATTCTTAGCAGTTCTCAGAATGGCACACCACCACATTTAGCTTCAATTTTAGGAGCTCCAAAGTGGAATATTGATGATTTCAACCATACTCAAGGGTCAAATGCTGCTTATGACGTAATTTTTACTCTTAGGGCGTGATTATATGTCAAGGAAGGGCCTTCATGGTTCTGCTGGAACTGACTACCAAGGGAACATTATTCCACGTGACCATCTAAATCTTGGAGTCCCAACAATGGCTGAATAGAAGGATGACGGCAATGCTTTTTATCGAGAACTTGATATACACGAAGAGGAGTGCGTGGATATGTTGCGGGAGAGGGAACGAGAAAAAGAATGTGAAAGGGATTATATGCCCATGAATAATATATATCCTGGGTTATCAATATCTCTTGAATCTACAAAGAGTGATCCTATGATTGTTGTTTATGCAAAGAGAAACACTTGAAGAGATTGGTTGAACTGAAGTAGTATTGAATTCACTAAATCCTATATTGGTTGCAAAGATTGATCTAACTGCCCGTTTTGAGTGGTTGCAACCTTTGGTGTTCCAGTTATATGATGTAGATTCTCAGTTCCATAATGTTCCTGCAAAGACACTGAAGTTGGATCTGCAGCAATTTCTGGGTGAAGCTATCTGTTTTCTTTCAGAGGTTGCCACTAAACCTATTAGATCCTTGATCAAATTAGACCATAGAGACATGGAAAAAAGGTCTCAAAATCTATAGGAGCTTACTGCTCGTACTGAAGAGTGTTTTAGCTCAAAAATGATGTTGAGATATTATTTCACTGTGCAAATTTGGATAAAAGGATTTTTTCTCAAAAAATGATGTTTTCTTGGTGATTTCTAGAACAACAGAGGCTGGCCCTCCTGTTCCAGTTTACAAGACATGGGTTATAAAGAATGATCTCAACCCCGCTTGGAAGCCAGTAATTATAAATCTTCAACAAGTTGAAAGCAAGGATGCGCCTTTGAATATTGAATGCTACAACTTCAATAGAAATGGAAAGCATGACCTCATTGGCAAAGTTGTGAAATCTCTGGCAGACTTGGAAAAGCTTCACCAGCATCAGCATGGGGAATATCTTTTCCTACCTAGTAATACTAGCCCTAATCATCCCAATAAGATATTGAAGGGTCAATTATTTGTGCAAAAGTTTTCTTAAAATAAGAGACAAACTTTCCTAGACTATAATGCCGCTGGCTGTGAAATGAATTTCATGGTAGCAGTAAACTTCACAGCTTCAAATGAAAATCTTTGGCTCTCAGAGTCTTTGCATTACATTGATTCCTCAGGTCGACCAAATGCTTATCTAAGAGCAATAACAAACAAAGATAAAAGCAAGAAATTAAATGGATGAGTAGATTAGATGTTGCAGAAATTCTACAGTTCTATGACACAGATAAGCGCTTTCTTGCTTGGGGCTTTGGAGCAAGGCCTATTGATGGGACTATCTCTTATTGCTTTAATTTAAACGGAAGCACACACCACCCTGAAGTTAATGGTGTTCAAGGAATAATGACAGCTTATGCTAGTGCTCTTTTGTAATGTATCCTGGGCTGGACATACCCTTTTCGAACCTGTTATTAACACTGCTGCAGCATTAGCTGGCCAGTCACTTGCCAACAACCAGCATAAGTATTTTGTCTTGCTAATAATCGCGGATGGGGTGATAACATTTCTTCAAGAAACTAAAGATGCATTAGTGAAGGCATTCGATCTGCTTCTTTCAATCCTTACTGTAGGAGTTGGTGGCGTTGACTTCAAAGAAATGGAGATTTTGGATGCAGGCATTGGAGAAAAAACTTATCTGTACAACTGGACAAGTGGCAATGCGAGATATTGTACAGTTTCTTCCAACGAGGGATGTTCAGAGTGATGAATTGTCAGTTGTACATGCTCTCCTTGCTGAACTACCTGGACTGCTCATGGCTTTTAGGAAGGGGGATCTATTTAGGAAGGTTCCTAATCAAGGGGGAGTTGTTTCCTAATTAATGAAAAAGTTATTTAGGAAGGTTACTAATCAAGGAGGAGTTTTTTAGAAAAGTTTCCTAATTGTATTTATGCTATTTAGAAAGTGTTTAATTGTTTAGGAAAGTTTTTCTAATTCATGTTTAATTGTTTAGAAAAGGTTTTCTAAATCACATTTAATTGTTTAAGAAGGTTCTATTTTTGTTATTGTAGCTAGGCCTATTTAAAGGGGCGTTTTGATTAAGGTTATGGATGATGATATTGCTGAGTTTATTTTCCTAGTGTTTGTTGTGAGTTCCCAGCGACGTCTAGGATTTGTGGGAGAGCTGATGTGTCTCTCGAATAGTAGATTAATTATATCTTGCTTTATTTTTGAAGAGGAGAAATCATACATCATTTATTATCTGTGTTCCTACACTTTTCTTCTCTTTTGCTTGCTGATTTTACTTCCAAAGTGCATCATTTTCCTATTTCTTCTTGTTTCCCTTTTTGTTTCCTTTCATTTTTCTCCTTTTAGGTCTCATTTTATTAAATGACCGCTTTGCAATAGTATTTAGGGTCTTCCTTGTATCTTTCTCAAGAAGGAGAGACGAAGAACTAGTTGACCATGCCTAGTACATGCTTTAATTTATAAATGAATGGATGACAAACATTTAAATTTAATTGCAAATTAATTCCTACTCGATGATTTGAAGGATAATTTTTTTGCTCTATAAAAAAATAAATAAATAAAAAATTTTTGCTCTATCAGTAAGCAAATTTCTATCCTTGTGGCTGCTCCCTGCACGATGATTTTGCAGATAAAATCCCTCATGTCTGCATGTCTTAATTTTAATCACTTTTATCATTTCCTCTTTTTGATAATTCAATTTTGCTCTCCTCATCCTTTTGGCTACCCTTGTACGATGAAGATAGGAGAGAGCAGAAGGTGTTGTATTCTCGTCTCTATACAACATAGTTCTCTTTGCAATGGTGGAAGCTAAGGCTGCATAAAAGCTTGAAGCGTGAAACTTGCTCGAAATTAGCTCAGCTTGACTCAATTTTGAGCTCCACTTTATACTCGAATGTTTAGTGTCAATTTCGGATTTACTTGAAGTCCTATGTATTTCTACTTTTCTAGTTAGTAGGAGATATATGAGTTACAATGATAATCAATCAAATTTCTTCCTGTTTTTTACTAGAATTGGGTAACGAATTGTCAATGAAAATATGTTTTAATATTTCTTAGGCAAATTACATCAAAACTGGGAAGAAAAGTAAAATTATGAAGTAAAATGAATTTGAATTGCCTTCAAAGTTCAACCAAACTTACCTTTAGATGAAGGAGTGTAAATTGCTTATCCATGTAGAGTTTCACGTTTGCATATCAGTAAACTACAATGTAACATCACTGATAATCAGATGGCTGTTAGCGACCCAGTAGAAGTGTCACAGGAAAGGCAGATTGGAAGCTCTTCTTTGGCTAGTGAAACATTTGTTGATAGCACCATGGAAGCTGCATCATATCCAAGCCTTCCTAAAGATGAAGTGCATGACCGCAGCTCTGTTATTTTAAGGTACAAGGAGAAGAGGAAGACAAGAAGGTAATTCAAGCTACAGTTTCTGAACATATTTACCATTTCTTGTTTTTTTTTTAATGATAATTACTGTTAAACAACCAAGCAGATATGAGAAGCTTATACGATATGAATCGAGGAAGGCGCGGGCCGACAGCAGGGTGAGGATTAAGGGTCGGTTTGCCAAGGCTAACCAGGCCCAATATCCTTGATACATTCAAACAAATGCAATAAATACATCAGACTAGACCTTGGGGTCTACGGCAGTCCGGCGTTTTTGAAGTCTTGGTTTCTAGTTAAATATGAAAATAGTTTTCCGGTTCTTGCTTGCTAATAATGTATATATTGCTGTATGTGTTGGACAATTACTGGTGAAGAATTGTATCATTTCATTTCTAAAATGTTGTTGTTGACTAAATTTAAACAGAATTCTACTCTGTGGCTTTTGCATTTTGTCTATGATTACCTTTCTCATCCAAAAACTAGCTAATAAGCTATGACCTGAATGTTTAAATTGGTAAAGCTGCTTGAATGGAAAAAACGTTTTGTAATTTTAGGAAATATTTAACTAGTTAATATATCCGAGCAATTAAATGCCCATTATTTGAACTGTTTTTTTCTTGTTAAATTTTATAACATTTCAATTAGATTAGTAATTATTGCATTATCATCGTTGGGATATAATTATTGATAATTTAAGTTGTTTGATAAAACTAAAAATGTTAATTGTGGATGCCTCTGGCAATATTAGAATGTAGATATTGAAAATTGGATTATATGAGAGATTTGTAGTATTTATTATAACGATTAGATTATGGTAAATAAAATTAATGTGTAACGTTTCTAAAAGAAAAAAAAGATATGCTTGAGATATCGTAGAACTCATGACTAATTAATATTCAATCACTCCATTTAATTGCTACTTGCAAATAACTCATGACACTAATTTTAAAAGTTAACTTTAAGTATACGAATGAATTTTTGCATTGTAGATATCATTATTTAAATTTAATTATGGATTTATTTAATAGCTAACCAGTAAATAGTAAATACACATAATATGTGTTAGTTTTTTATAAATATATGTATACCAATTTAACGCAGCTCATTTTGGAAGCTTTGGCTAACAAGAGGTGGAATTCGAGGTTGTGAGTACTTAGTAGTTTGTCTTAATTGTTCCAAAATTGTGGCGAATTATTACGCCCGTTTGGTCATCGGATCGTCCGGACATCAATTTAGATATACACTGCATATGAAATTTTCATGATGTGAGGCACCACGAATCCGAACACGGACCTAATAATTCTCCCAAAGTCTTTCGAACCCCTCAATCTATGTTCAGATTGGCTCTCTGGGAACCCTAACCGCCGCTGAGGTTTTTCTCATATTGTCATCAGCTTCTCCTCCCTCCCTCCGGCGATGCCGGAGGGATCTTCTCCTTCTCCTACTCCCTTCAAGGATGCTGTTCTTTCCCCCTCTTTCCCCTCGCTTGCAAAATCTCCTGGAGGTTAGGTTCGTTTGATCTCCAAAAGTTGGAACAAAGTTTTTGAACCTGCTGCAGCTTCCGCAAACCCTTTAAAGTTTTCGCATTTTCCCTCGGAACCGGAGATTATCCCTTTCACTGGGAAGAAGTTATCCAATGGAGGGGAGGACTGGAAGCTATGTCTGGTTGGTTATTCTATAGGGAGGCGTCCCTACTATGAAGCCTTGCTCTCGGCGGTTAAAAAAACTTGGAGTTTGAAAGGTTCGGTTCAACTCCTTTTACTAAATGATGGTTTTTTTCTCTTTCGTTTCTCTTGTGCGGAAGATTTCGATATGGTCTGGACGAGAAGAGTCTGGTTCATTTTGGGGAAACCATTTGTTCTTCAAAAGTGGCACCCCAAATTTGTTCCAAAACGTGAAGATTTTGCGTATGTTCCAATCTGGGTGAAGATTCATGATCTTCCTCTTGTATGCTGGAACTCGGAGGGTATTTCGAGGATTGCTAGCAAAATCGGTGTTCTTGTTGCTGTGGACAGCTTGACGGAGCTGAAAACCAGACTTACCTTTTTCTAGAATTTGTGTTCTGGTTGATTGCAAGGCCACCTATCCGGAGGAGATTCAGGTTTCTTTGGATGGGGAAGTGGTATGTTTGAGAGTGCAATATGAATGGCGCCCTTTTCCCTGTCAACACTGTAAGTCTTTAATGCATTATTCTTCTTCTTGTCCAAAAAAACCGGAGAGGGAATCTAATGAGGAAGGTAAAGATACTGGTAAAGAACCGAAAAATTTAAGAGGTAGGAGTACTAGCAGAAGGTCTCGTCCTAGACCTATCTCCAACACTGAACCTCTGGATAATCTCCCGCCTACTCAATCCTGTATCAAGGAGCCTAACAATCCTCAAATTCCCCAGAATAATCAAAATTCTCTTGAGTCTCCTTCCATGGTGATTGGACATCCTTTACAGTATCAGCCACATTCCCCAACTCCCACTAAAATGAAATCAAAGGAAACTGATATTGTTGCTGATTCCATTATTAGAGATTTTGTCAATGGGGATCAGTTTAGTTTGGGCATCCCTAATCTAAACTAGCCCAATGATGTTGCTTCCTCATCCTCTACTAATTTTCAAACACAGTCGACATCTGACGGGAAGGATATGTTTCTCCAAATAGGTTTGAAATATTAAATGATGAGGAAGATATCAAGGACCCTTTCTCTAAATCTGAGGTGAATTTAGAGAGGGATGATTTTAATGCTGATGCTACTGGGAAGGATAAGAATGTTAAAGTTCAAATCAAATCGAACAAACATCTTGAATCTACTACAGTCAAAAAAACTGCTAAGAGGAAGCAAGGGAAAAAGTACCAATCTAAGCAAAAATCCTGATGTCTATTCCACTAATGGTTGCGTGGAATATTCGGGGTTTAATCGCCCTGATAAAGTGCTTTGTTTTAAGCGTCTTATTGAGTCTTTTAAACTTGATTTAGTTTGTATTTTGGAGAACAGGATTAATATCCATTCTCTTGATGATCCGTTCTTTGAACATTCTCATAAGCTTTTCTCTTATGAAGCAAGCTGCAACAATTTTGCTTTTTCTGTCTCTGGGAGAATCTGGGTAAAGTGGGATTCTTCTAAGCTGATTTTCTCTCCCTCTATTATTACCTCTCAACTGATTTCTGGTATGATCATTGTGTCTAATCAGCCTCTTTTTCAGCTCTCTGTTGTTTATGCTTCTAATAGCATGTCAGATCGTAAAGTTTTGTGGAACTCTCTTTCTCAAGCTGCTCCTGATGGTAATGTTCCCTGGGCTATAATGGGAGAATTTAATTGCTGTAGATATGCCACCGAGAAGCTTGGTGGCTCTCCTCTTTCAGAGGAGGACCAAGTTTTCACTTTTTAAAATCTCTTTTTTATAATTGCTGAGGGAGTTTACAATAAATGAAAAATCGGATTTCCAGAGCTTGGTTTAGAGAAAAAACCTCTAACAATCATAGTCCCAATACTTATCTACCTTGGTCCAATAAATTTTGAAGAGGAAACGGTGAAGACCTTGAAAGAGTTTCAGAAGCAGAATAACAGGAGAGTGATCAGAACATGATGGGTTATGTATCGAACAGAAAGAATCATAAGAAGTTGATTCAGCCAGCTCTCATCACGAAGGACTATCCAATGTGATAAATGAATAGGATTGCAACCCGTTGATTATACCAGTGTATGTGGGGGTAAAAGTTGTAGCCAACAGAAAACGTGAAGGTCCACCAGACCATGTGAAAAATACAATCATTGAAATCTTTGAAGAGCCGATGT